TATTGAAATTCCGGCATCGAAAGCAACTGTACTGCGCGGACATGAAAGTGAAGTATTCATATGTGCTTGGAATCCAAGTCGAGACTTACTTGCAAGTGGTTCCGGTGATAGCACAGCGCGTATATGGGATATGTCTGACGCTATGGCCTCGCCAAATCAATTAGTCTTGCGTCATTGCATACAGAAAGGCGGTGCGGAAGTACCGAGCAACAAAGACGTTACTTCTTTGGATTGGAACGTAATATATATAATATAATTTTTGTTTTTAATAGATTCATCAGTTTTGTTATAGTGCGATGGTACATTACTTGCTACTGGAAGTTATGATGGTTATGCTCGCATTTGGAAAACTGATGGACGCTTAGCTTCAACTCTTGGACAACATAAAGGGCCAATATTTGCTCTAAAATGGAATAAACGTGGTAATTATATACTTTCCGCTGGTGTAGATAAAACAACGATTATTTGGGATGCATCTACCGGTCAATGCACACAACAGTTTTCATTCCACAATGCACCAGCGCTTGATGTTGATTGGCAAACAAATGTTTCATTTGCCTCATGCAGTACAGATCAACGTATACACGTTTGTAAGCTGGGTGTAGATAAACCTATTAAAACCTTCCAAGGACACACTAATGAGGTAAATGCTATTAAATGGTGTCCGCAAGGTCAGCTGTTAGCTTCTTGTTCCGATGATATGACACTAAAGATTTGGTGTATGAAACGAGATCATTGCTGTCATGACTTGCAAGCACATTCCAAGGAGATTTACACAATTAAATGGTCACCCACAGGACCGGGCACACATAATCCAAACACTAATCTTATTCTTGCTTCTGCTTCATTTGATTCTACTGTACGTTTATGGGACGTAGAACGTGGGTCTTGCATACATACTTTGACAAAACATACTGAGCCAGTGTATTCAGTAGCTTTTAGTCCTGATGGCAAATATTTAGCATCAGGTAGTTTCGATAAGTGCGTACACATTTGGAGCACACAATCTGGACATCTTGTGCATAGCTATAAGGGCACAGGGGGAATTTTCGAAGTTTGTTGGAACTCTAAAGGCACAAAAGTTGGTGCAAGTGCATCTGACGGCAGTGTATTCGTTTTAGATTTAAGAAAATTTTGATCTAAGTCTCATTCTCGTAGATCTTACATGCATTAACGATAATCATTTTAATTTTATTTGACATTTAAACATATTGATCTTTTAATATAACATAAGAAGTACTGATTGCGGTCATGTACACAAAATAAAATATTTTTACATGATATTTTCTAACAAAATGACAAAAATGCGGGAGCAGATTTCCTAGTGACAAAAAAGTCGTATCAAACTGGTTCATTTTCAATATTAACCGAAAGTATTTTATAGAATATATTCCTCAAACAAAAACATCAATCAAAAGACTCGAAATGATTTATCAATAATTAAATGGATAAATACTTTTATACGCTTTACGTATATCAAGATCTTATCTTCATATTTTTTAATAAAAGTATTATCCATCTGTCACCCACTGTTTTTTCCGCAAAAGGCGTTTTAACTAATAAAGCGTTTTTGTGCGTATTTGTCGAAAAAATCAGTGGGTAATGATCGAAAGTTTTGTAAAATAAGAATTTTGACGTAGTAAAACATTAGAAACTCATTAAGCAAAAAAAAAAAAATTAGACATCAAATTAAAAAATTTGTAATAAACCAAAATTTGGTATATTAATCAAGTTTTATAAATGAATCTTTTTCGAGATATTGCTGTCTTTTTGACTGAAGTTTGTTTTCGGATGAATATTCTTTATCATGCTGTATCTCGAATAATATTGAAAAGTGACCACTCATTATGTACGACTTCTTTAGTTTCTTTGATTAAGCAATCATCCGCATTTATGCTATTTAAAATAGTTTGGAAATATCCTGTATTAAAACCCATTTACACATGCTTGACAAGCACGATTTTTAGATTTGCAAACGCAGAAACATTTTGTAAAATAACACATTTACTTGATGATCAATCATATAATGATTAAATTAAAATAACTATTTGCTGTATAAATAATTTACCCAGATGCAAATCAATCTGAGGTATCAATAATTTTTGTCATATATTACAATCTAATATAATTAAAAAAGAAAAACTATAGCAAGTAGATTTTAATTACCAGAAATATAATATTAATGTTGTAATATATATATGTATGAATATATATTAGTGCGATATACGCGCATAAATGTTTGGTATTGTAACTGCATTTGTAGTGTATCTTAGACTTTAAACTCTTTAAAGTTTTAACAATTTTTTAAAAGTAAGATAATCTTAATGTTAAACTATTTAACACGAACGTTTTTGATGTAATTTAATAAATATAGCATTTCAGAGAATATCTGAATGCAACTGGAACGCAGCGCAATAGTTTTATTGTTCAGTGTTTGACTTAAAATCACTGAAACTACCACTAAGGAATGAGTTCGAAAGATCCCAGCCTTCAGATTGTAGAAGACTTCCGGGTAAAATCAGATTCCAGTAAACAGAGGGTAATATATAAAAAGCTTAGTAGTTGGATTTCCAAATTCATTACTAATTTTAGTCCTGTATCAAGACCTGCAATCGCTAATTGAACTCAAACACTAAAGTTTTAAAAAACTGTAACTCTGACACCATCATAGAGCCCCATAATCAACTATTTATGTAGCTACAAGCTCATGCTTTCAATATATTAACGACATATTATTCACAACTGAAACTTACATTCAAGTTTTTACACCACAAATAAACTTAGCGAACAAACGGATCAGCCGCTGCTCCACGCATAAGAACAGTAATCACCCTAACACCGTATCCGGGTATCAATAGCGGTTAACCACTGCGAAACTGGCAATTCAACAGAAATATCTGAGTTTAGTCAAGCAATACTGGTTAGAGGAAGCAATATACCCACTAGTTTGCTACTTCAATAAAGCAGAACCTGTCGTGGTTGTGGCTCTGAGGGAGAGGAGAAAACTGTGTTTCAACTCATGTGCCAGTGCCCTTCTTTAGCTATGAAAAGATCGAAGGTCTTGGGGGCCTTGTCGTGGTTGTGGCTCTGAGGGAGAGGAAAAAACTGTGTTTCAACTCATATGCCAGTGCCCTTCTTTAGCTGTGAGAAGATCAAAGGTCTTGGGGGCCCCTTTTTCTTACCGATCTGTCTGAGCTGTCATCTTGCAATATTAGGGATTTAGCCAAATTCATAGAACTATCAGTTTGGTTTACCTTAACTTAATGTGGGATAAATGTCGTTGCGTTCGTCGTATACTAACCTTTTAGTCTATGTAACGCCATTCCTGTGGTGCCACAATGTGCCATTATTTGAGCTCAAGTGGGGTTTCTTGAGTAAAAGTTGCCACTCTAATCAACCTACCTAACCACTGGGAACAGCATTAGTATAAGCCTAACAAAGGACATGAACCTACCAACTGTATACGTGTTAGCATAACACAATTTTTAAAAATAATTTCTGACATAGTTAAAGATAGATTAAATTTGGTTTTTAATGTTAATTATCATGGAGGAAACCACAGGCCTCTCTTTTAATAGTTAATATTAATAAAACAGAATACCATTGGGATATAGCATGACGGCAGCCTATGTCTATAAGTGGATAACCTCACTTCATTTTAATAGATGGAGAGAGTTGAGCACTTGTAGACAGACCAAACTCATGTTACCAAAACCGTGGGCCAGAGAAGCGATAAAGGTGCTTAGCTATTCGCGGAGCACCCTGAGCTGGCTGACCTCACTAATTACTGGACATGGCAACTTCAAATATCACCTCAAAAAGATAGCTCTTGCTGAGGAAGACACTTGCAGACTATGTCTAGAAGAAAAGGAGACAGCGGTGCATATATTGTGCCAATGTTCAACACTGGCAAGTAGGAGGAAGGCTGTCTTGGGACACCATTGGGTTGGTGAGACTTGGCAGGAAACCTCAAGCTAAATGAACTGCTTGCATTAACAAAAGATGTAGTTATGTGAACGGAAGCCACTCCAGCTTTAACTCAATAACAACATCCGAGAATCGAAGGACGAAAAAGGACCCAAGTCGTTTCGTGGTCTACTTCGACTAATCCTTCACTTCAGTGGGGCCACTTGTTGGACAGTGCGCTGTCCCAACGTCCCACCATATATAGATTGCTGCTCCATATGCTTTTTCAGATGCATCTACAAAACAATGTAATTGAATATCTAATGGAATTTCGTGGTTAAAAACATATCTCGGAATGATCATATTATTAGTTTCTTGCAGTCTTGACCGAAACTTAACCCATTCGGCTTCATATTCATGAGGTAACAGATCTTCCCAGGTCGTCTTTACTTCCCAAATTCGTTGAACAAATATTTTTGCTGTGACTATGATTGGTGCTACCAATCCTAATGGGTCATAAACTCTTGCTAAGTCTGAAACTACTGAACGCTTAGTAAAAGTTGTACATGGTGTTATACTTGTTGTTATGCACAAATTATTAAGCTGTGGTGTCCAAATCATTCCCAAAGTCTTAGCTGTTTTGAACGAACAAGTAGAAATATCCCAACAGACTTCTTGATCATGTGGTGAAATGTTTTGTAGTAATTATGGGTGATTAGCGCACCATTTTCTTGGCTTAAAACAATATGATTTCAAAATGTTAATTAGTTGTTCTTGAATCACCTTAGCCTCTATCAGACTGTTAGAGCCACATAATCCATCATCGACATAGAAATCTCTTCGTAGGGTCTCTGCTCCAAATGGATAAGTACCAGAACTTTCTCTTGCTAAAGTTTGTAAACATTTGGTAGCTAAGTATGGAGCTGATCGAGTCCCATATGTCACAGTTTTTAGTTTATAAAATCGTAGCGGCTCCTGTGGATTATTTCTCCAAATGATTAATTGTAGCATTTGATCTTCTGGGTGAATAAGTATTTGCCTATACATTTTCTCAATGTCCGTTGTGAAAGCGTATCTTGGAATTCTGAATCGTAATAATATTGAGAATAGATCGCTCTGTACCACAGGACCAGTATGCATAATGTCATTCAATGATCGACCTGATGAAGTTTTACTAGATGCATCAAACACAACACGTAATTTTGTCGTGGTGCTATCTGGTTTTATCACGCAATGATGAGGAATGAAATAATGTGAGGCCATGATGTCATCAGGTTGAATTTCTTCCATGTGACCGAGATCTTTATACTCAGTCATAAACTGCACGTATTGAGCCCTTAATGCTTCATTTTTTGACAGCCGTCGTTCAAGAGAGAAAAATCTGCGTTGTGCAATTTCACTAGAGGATCCTAATGTTGATACACTGTCAATAAGTGGCAATTTCACAATAAATCTGCCTTCTTTAGTACGTTTCAAGTTTTCCACAAAATGAGTTTCACATAATTTTTCTTGATCAGACAGTAGTTTTGAATTTTGTGCTGATTCTTCAAGATCCCAAAATCGGACGAGGAGATTATTTAGCGAATCTTCTTCTTCGCTAAACATACAACAGACAGCGTCACCTTTTGCTGTTTCTGATAGTTTGCCACTTACAACCCATCCAAGAGTAGTATTCTGGAGTATTGGTTTGTCAACTCCCAATTGGATTTGCCCTGACGTCAAGAGATGTGGATAAAATTCAGCTCCTAATAATACGTCTATTTTTTGTGGCTCATTGAAGTTAGGATCAGCTAATGTAATATTTTTTGGAATGTTCCATGAACTGATATTGACACATTGTGTTGGTTGTGGAGCAATAATATGTGGTAACACAAATGCTTCTAAATTTGTATTGAAATTGCTATTCATTGATTTAAAGACAGTGCTGATTCTTTGACGAGCACCCTTTGTGGTGTTACCAACTCCATTTATACGCATTGATGTTGCTTTTGGAGTTATTCCTAGTCGATGAGCTACCCTCTCGGTCATTAAATTAACTTGAGAACCTGAGTCTAATAATGCTCTACATTGAATTTCTTGGCCGTTATGTGCCAATAATCTTATAGTTGCTGTTCCTAAGAATACATATTGCTGTTTATTGTCCTTTCTTGCAATAGTTAATGATGCTTGATGATCAACGCTTAAACCTGTGCTTACATTGCGTTGAGTATTGTTAGACTTTGGTATTGTTGTTTGTTTTTCAGTGCCATTAACCCATGAGTTTACATGTAGTAAAGAGTTGTGTTTTTGATTACATTTGATACAATTGCCTGATTTACAGTTGTATGCTATATGACCTGGTCGCAAACAGTTACGACATAAGTTTTGTTTTTCAACAAATTGTAGTCGTTCAAAAGTATTTGCTTGTAAGAACCCTTTGCATTGGTATATTTGATGTAAATCTTGCTTACAATATATGCATGATTGCCTGGTTGATTTGTTGATTGTTGCGGTATTACATACCTTTACGTCATTATTGGTAGTACTCTTTTGGCCGATAGCTTCCAGAGTTTGAAAACGTGTTTCAATGAAACTTAGAAACCCTGTCATTGATTGTAATTCCTTTGGTCTTGCCAATGATTGCTCATACAACGTATGTGTAGTTGCATCCAGCTTCTTTGTTAATAAATGAAGAAGGAGTGGATCCCAATGATCTGTTTGAACATTTAAGTTATTTAATGCCAACAAACATTCATGTATTACATCATGTAGTGACT